TTGTTCTATATTCTTTTTTATCTTATTGTTTCTAGCCCTGAAGAAGACCTGCAAAGTCGGGTCGAAACGTTGGCTTTCAATTTTATGACCGCTACCCTGAACCATCTTCGTACTGAATAAGATTCCAGGGTCAACCATCAAGTATTCAATAAAAAAATTGCATGTTCTTCTTCGACATTTAAGAAAAATTCGTTTCTTCTTTTAAAATACAATAAAAAAAAGAAACACTGCATTGAAACATCGTTCAAGCAGTTTAAGAAGCCAGCATAACACTTCATAAGCGATCGACAGGACAGAACGCCGAGTCTCGAATTACATCTGACATATGGCGCTCCTTAATGCCGGCGGGCACAATTACCAACCGAGGTGATTACAGGCCGTTAATTGCTCGACATAAATTTTGAAGACAAAGGTGCCGAACATATCTTTAAGAGAGAAGAAGTGAGGGAGGGGGGGAGTTCGAAAGCGACGGGGTTCTTAGGCGGACGCCTTCGCCAGATCTTATCAATATTGGAATAGTTGGAACAGATGTCCCCTTTTTCCTGAACGAATTTCATAGAAAATAAACACTTTTTATCTTGCAGCAAATAAACTTGATTATAGTTTAAAAAATAAAACCACTCAAGCCTCTAAGGACATCTATAAAAAAAATTTTGAATGTAAAAAAAAAAAAAAAACGAAGCAGCCGAGGTCCAATTTTTCTCTTATTTTAGACTGAAAAAAAATATGAAAAGGGATTATATTGCTTAGAGTTTCAAAGCGTTGCAAGTTATTATAGAAGCAGAAGAAGAAATTACTTTTTTTTATTTTTTTATGATATTTACAACTGTATTAAGGAAAAAAATCGCTGCAAATTATTTCACAATGGTTTATTATATCCAAACAATTATACGTCTAAAGTAACATTACCTTCCTAGTGACAAAAAAATAAATAAAAAGTGATTCCAATTATTGGACTAATAATTTGTTTTTTATGATTAGTAATATGCTAGAAAAAATAGCATTACTTCAGTGACATGATCAAAAATCAAAAACCAAAACAAAGGATATAATCTTTGAAGCAGAACATATAAAAAAAAAACTAGAGACCATATCTTTGCTCCTAATTGTCCGATTTTAACTATTTTTTTTTTTTTAGGAAATTCCGTAAACTTTTAAAAATTTAAATACCTTTGAAATATCATATCACGATATTAACGAAAAAGTGTATGCTTTTTGAGTTATTAGGAATCTAATTTTACCATCCCTCGTAACATTTTTTTTCTAGTTTCTTTTCGTTTAAATATGTTATATAGATAAATTTAAAGGGCATCGAGAAGAAGACTTCAGTTTCATTGAAATCGGTACATTCGTTTAGGCACTAGAGTCTATAGCAACCCAAGTTTTTCGGTCGTCATTTTGAAAGGATGAGGCGAATAGAAATGTCGATGAAGGAGGATCATCCTCAGTTGACCTTTAATTGTATAGGTAATTTGAAAAAAATCGATCCAGTAGTTCCGGAGAAAATGCGTGGACGGCGGACAGACAAAAACAAAAAATATTCTTTCTTCAAATTCTACGTACTCTGAAAAGTAAAACCTCAAATTTTGAGAGAGGGTTAAGTTTTTTAATTTTTTTTGTGCAATTACAATGGATTATGCCCTAAAAATGTATTTACAATAGGAGATCTCAAGACCAGCTTCTTTTCAGAGGCTTCGGAAGAAAGTTTAGAAACAAGAGGATGGTTCTGAAGTTTATTATAGAAAATTGCAATTACAAATCCAAGTTCCATATCTAAAAATTGGTTTTCTATAGCAATTTGAAGTTGCAGCAAAGGAACGATGAAGCACCGACTTTTTCAATAAAGTGAAAAGAGGGAATATCGAGCATACACTAAATTAGATGGAAATAGATTAAATTCAACTGCGCCAGCCGGGTTTCTAATCTGTCGCCTTCCGCAAAGCCGAACCCACACCTCAAAGATATCTATCACCTCATCATAGATTCAGATCACAGCGCGGAACCAGTAAGAACTATACCGAAAGTAGACAGAATCTACTTTCCCGAAACTTTCTAAAATAATTAAGGCTATATTCCTTCGGTTCTCATCGCAGATGGCGGAATAACACGTGTCATAACAAAACTTCCTGTTGAGTAAGAGGTGCCCCGGAGGAAGACACGGCGTTTAGAAAGCATGAGCATTCAATGCACCGCAGGCCATAGAATGCAAGGAGATATGAATGAGGAACCTTTGCCGGCCAATGACTGTCACATAAAATAAAGACTGGGTATAAGATCGAGAATGTGCTTTGAAGTCATTCATAAGACGCATTCAAGAATGAATATCACAATAGCTATAAAATTAATGAAGGATGTTGGATTCAGTACTATTTAAGGAAAGTACTGTTTCTTATTCAACGGTTATGCAAAGAGGTGATGTGACTGAGATCACGCTCAATCACATAATTGAGCGTCCTCCATAATTAATTATTTAATTAATGACACAGACTCTATTAGACGCTCCTAACCTCAGGGTCGCCCTACGGCTCATGAAATAGAATAAATATTTTTTCTGCCATGAGCCGGGATTCGAACATGGATTCTTGAGCATTGAAAGATCAGTTATCCTAGAACTGAGCTATCCCACTCTCCCATGGGTAATAATTATAATAAAATATTTCATGAAAAAAACGGTCTTGGTGGCATTCAAGATTAATACTAAAATAACAAAAACTATTTAATGAACACCTACCAATGTTTAGACCCATATGAATTTTTTTTTTATATCCAGGCCATCATCAGAGCTACAAAAAACAAGGTAAAAAAAATCTAAAAAATACAATATGGAACCAAAAAAGAATACATATAAAATTCTCACATAGTAGTGGAGCATTATGATCTTTAAGCCAGAAATCGAAACCGCAAAGGATAAGCTAAAGAAGAAACTCCTGGCAACAAAAATGGACTGTGATTATGATAATCATGATGACTAAGATAAACGATATTGATGTAACCCTTACTTGGTCAATATATTGACTCAATAATATTGAACGTTTAAGGGGAATTTTACGTAACTTGCTTTTTAACAACATACGCGGCGCGCCAGATATACCATTCCGCAAAACAGACATAACATTACACGGAACGGATTAATTTTATAATTTTACTTCAAGATAATTTTAGCCTACAAGTTATTATATACTTTACAACCTTTTATTAGTAATGATGTTTAATTGCATCAATTTATTCAATTAATATTATTCACTTCAAAACATATTTGAATCACAAAATTACCCTCACTAACAGTATGAAGGTCCAATTTTTAGTTTAGGGGCCTTTTTTTCAATTCAAAAACATTTCAATAAATCGAATCCAGCCGACTTCGCCCTAGCGTTACACATCGGAGATCTGACGGTTCAAGCTAATTCCCCCTCCACAAAAAAAGTGAAAAATGCGCCTAAAGAAGTCCACTTCAATAAAACCTTTTTAGAAATAATATATAAAAATAATGCTTTAAAACGTATCTATTCACTTAAATATGACAAAAATTCATCCTTTTTATTTTACCTGAAGGCAAATAATTTTAAAAATTAAAAATACTCCATCTTAAAATAATAGTTACTTTATAAAATACCGTAATTATTTTTTTTCCGATTTAATCGTTTATTTTTAGAGATAAGTGTTCAGTATGCAAAAAGATGTTGAAAGTTAAATATTTCGGATATTAGATTGAATAACTTAACCTCAGGACTCAGGTTACTGATATTTACGAAACGTTGACATTAAAACAGGATCAGGGTCGAAACCGACTCATGGATTTTTTTTTTTTACCGACCGTGATTCAACACAGAAGTTGAATAACTCTCCTTAAAAGGTATCCATGGAGAACTTACAAAAGATCATAATTATACCATCTATATATTTTTCTTTTACACGAACCGACCAGCAAGGACCACGAGAATATCATTTCCGTTTCCTCTTCACTCCCTCAGCCTTCCTCTTACTCCAATACTCTCTCATCCTCCTGGACTGTTCCTCTCGCTCTTCCTTAGTCCATTTTCTCCCTCGTCTCTTCCTCCCACCTACAAGAGACCCAACCCCTTACAGTTTTTCCCTAAAAAGCTCTCAATCCAAGCAATCTTTTTTATCCGTGATTTTTCGCCTGTTTAATTCCTCTTTTATTTGTTTTACATACCCCCCCAAACTTTTATAGCTGCAAACTTTTTCAAACATTTTCTTGTTCAGTCTTTTACTATCAACCTAACCACGTGCATGTAGAACCTCAGTCTTCTGGTCCTAACGACTGTTTCCAAATTTATGTATGTTTCTTTATTGGATTTTAGCCTTTATCAGAATCTTCCTCTCAATCTTCAGCATTTTCTCTAGGCTCGGAAGGCTGACTGTTTCCATAACATATAATATTAAAGGTCTTGCTACTGTACAGTAATGCCTTATTTTTGCAATTGAGGACAAAGTTTTCTTGTTGTAAACATTCCTGGTGGCGAAGTTCAGTCTTTCCAGTTTGGTTATTCTTCCTTCGATTGATTTTGGTCACTTTTATTTTCCCATATTTAGTGTCCAATAGAAACTTGGTAAAGTTTTTTTTTTGTATTTTATTTTATTTGTATGTTGTCAGTCCATCAACTACCTCCTGCAATCTCACATGCCACGCCCTGATGAAGACCTGCAAGGTGAGTCGAAACGAAATAATTAAAAATACTATTTTTTTAAAAATTTAGTATTTATTTGACCGCACCCCCAGACCAACTCCTTCTCATCTATATTTTTGCTTCATCGATGTTGTGATTTCAATCTTCATTAGGCTAGTTACAACACACTGTTTGAGTGACTGACGGCTTGGCCAGGAATTTCTCAGTATAACATAAACTTAATTTGCCTCGTTATTATCATACCCGCTTACCTGAAACGAAACAGTAAAAGGTATGGAAGTGAAAGGTTTTAGGGTTAGATTATGATCAAAATATTAAAAATAAAATAAAAATATAAAATAAAAAAAATCCTCACCGTAAAAGGATCAGCGGGGAAGATGTTGGGAGGTAAGAAACAAGGCTGAGGGAAGTGGTGCTCCTCCTGCGGCTGGAACTCCTGCGGCTTGCCGATGATGCTGTTGAGAATATCCCATAGATCCATGTCCCGCAGATCCACCGCATCGCTCTGACCCGAGGGCGACCCTTCAAAAAGACATCCCAATTCCAATACTCTGTCTCGAATACCACAGTATTGTCTCTCTCTATCTCTCTCATGCTCTCTCTAGTCCGGCGATCGACCGCGTGCGAACATCGTAGCGTTCGCGGAATATGGAATGAGGACGGACATCCATCCAGAGCCAAGGTCTCCGACACCTACTGCTCTTCTAATATGCTCAATTAGCTCTGCCTGATGAATATTCAACAAGCGCTCCTGCAAAAGGCGCCGACAAGAAGTGGACGAGGGTCGGGCGAAACTTCGATCGACCTCCGCGATATCTGATGAGGAAAATCAGAAACTAAAAAAAAGTAATAAACTAAAACTCTAATAGAAGGCAAACTAATCAAGGGTCTGTTAAAATTGTCAGGTAAAAAAACAATGTAATATATATATATATATATATATATATATATATATATATATATATGCTCTTTTATTATTATTGTTTTCATTAATTCAATGGTATGACAACACAATTAATTCCATTTCCGATTTCATTTAGTATTCCATAGTTTATTACTTGAAGCAACTATTTTGTAGTATTGTGACCATATTGCTCATATTATTTCTTTAATATATCGGGATAGTTATGTAAATACTTCTGTTATTACCTAGATTTTATTTTTTATTTATTTTTTTTGTAATATGTATTTTGGCCAGATGGTATGTTAATTTTTATGTACAAAATTGTTATTCTTAAGAGACTTTGTCCCAGAATAAAGTTGATTCTTCTATTCTATTTTATATGTAATTGTGGATAAATGGTTGAATGTCGTGAATAATGAAAGAAGAATAGTTGGGGTGATCAGTCAAATAACAAGGCAAAAATAAATTATAATATTTATTTTGACATTTGCCGACGTTTATCATTTCTCCAACAATCTTTTTGGAGAAATGATAAACCCTAGCCCTGATGAAGGCCTCAACTTCAGATCGAAACGTTGACAAATGTCAAAATAAATATTATTATTTATTTTTGCCTTCTTATTTGACTGATCACCCCAACTATTCTTCTCATTCATTATTTTATATATAACTTATAATTATTTATGGATTGGAAAGATTCAGTATCACTTTTGGCATAGCACTGTGAGGTGATGCACAAGAAGTAAGAGATTGTTTGTTGTTTTTATCCATTTTTCTTTTTTTCCATCTACAAGATTGTGTATATTATAGACGTACTTCATTTGTTACATTCCTCAATTTGTATACATATATATCTTTTCCTACCTTAATCTCCGCGTTTTTTATAGTTAACAATACCGTTTGCGTATTGTATAACACATATAAATAATTTATTTTCTTTAAATCAATTTTTTTTTTCTGGTGTGATCCAGTTGCTCAAATTCTGTCACTAATATATGTTTAATATATGTACATATTTTATATGCTTTAGCTGTTTGGGTTTTAACATAAGTCAATCTTTTTTATTTAAGTAATTTTGAAATTTTATTCATTTCTGAAGGTTTCGCTGATTCTTTCTATACATGTAATTTTTTTAAATTTACTTTTGTCTTTTTGTCATTTTTTCTAGTAAAATTGTAAGTATAGTTGAGAAGATTTTATTTTATTTTTTAGTAATTTACATACTATTATTTAAGTTGTTGTATCCATTGTTTAAATCCTTATTAAGTAAGTTTTGGGCCAGATATGTATTTTTTCTTTCGTAACTGTTCAATATTGTTATTCTAAGGGGACATCGTCCCAGAATAAAATTTATTTTCTATATATATATAGTCTGAAAATACTTATTTCTGCTAAGAAGAGAGTAAGTGAAAGTTGTGAGATGCGCGCATCGCATCAGGTTTTTTTTTTAATTACATAAAAAATATGACGACCCAAAACCTGAGTGCCTATTACTGATACAAAATAATTTGTCAGAATTTCTTCATGAATTAATTATAAGCTAATGGACTGTATAGAAAAAACGAAATTGGTGAAAGACTCAATTCGCTCTCAATTAAACCCATTTACAAATATCCACCGTCAGAACTTAATTTGATTCACATTAATGTAAATCAAATTAAAATTCTCTTTAAGTGTACATTTACAGAGTAATTTCATTTTTAAAACTAACACCAAATGACGTCACGTTTATTGCAATACGATATTAATATTCAATTTCACACTAAGGTCAAAGATACAAATACATTGACAATACATAAATTTCTGTTCAATTAGTACAAAATTGCTATTTTATGGTTATATCTTCACTAAAACACGCCAATGCACTAAATATTTCCCTAAGTGGAAATCGGGAATGAGGTCCCGTGCTGAGAGATAACTGTATACATTTCCCGGGACTGAATCAATTCAACTGCTACAATTAGGGACCGTATTGGGATCGGGTAAAACCAAGGCACGTCCATTACTGACGATATTGAATTAGTTAATAATTAACAACTGCATCCGAGCATTGTAAATAATTAAATTATTCGTTGGTGAAAGGGGCATTCGTCCATCTGTATATATTTCCGAGCGGAGATGAAATGTACTGTATTGAATATATTTATATATTAGCATAGAAAATCAAATTACAATTTGTCGAATAGAAGAAAAGGTCAAAACAAATTAGTTTAATTTCAACTATATATAATATTATAATTTTCGGATTAAAATATTTAATTTAATTTACATATATTTTACATATACCGTTGATATCTGTTGCATACGTACAATCCTTTGCCTGCGGAGACAAAAAAATTGTAAATAAGTCAGATTATTTCTTGTTTTTGCTGGGAAGAAGTACAATATTCTCTATTTTTGGAAATGAAAACTTCCAGATACATAACAATTGGTTTATTTGTTGATTTACATGTTAAGTTGAAGTTTCGGAAAAATTATTCCCATCTTCAAAACTTATTTGAATTATAACATTATAATTATAATGAATTATAACAATTCGAGTAACAACACAACTTTAACATGTATTGTTTTTTAATTACCTATTTTCTAGCCATAAATCGCTATGAAAATATGGGATTTTAAGTTTTGAAGATGGGTATAATTTTTCCGAAGCGTCAGCTTGACATGTAAATCAACAAATAAACCAATTGTTGTATATCTGGAAATTTTCATTGCCGACAACAGATTTTTTTATTTTATTATATATATTATTTTTTTTTCTCGATGCTGGCCAACAATGGACTACATCACTTCTAGGTCTTTTTCTTTTCTACCCATATTTTTCTTCCATTCCCCTCCCCTTTCTTTCCTCAGTACTTTTCTTACCTTCTTGCATCTTCTTCTCGGCTACAAGAACCTTTATACTTTTCATTCTTTTCCCGAATCTTGGTAGTCTTCATGTTTGATATATATTTTTTTTTAACTTCTTTTTTGTTTTTTTCCGAATCCCCATTTTTGTTCTTAGGACCCATTACTTATATTTGTTGAATATTTGTTTGTATAGCCTATTCCGATCCATTCTCTTCGTATGTCCAAAGAACATTTATCTCCTTTTTCTCATCGATGAATCTTCCTTTTCTAATCGGTATTCTTCCCTCACCTTTCTGGGTCCGAATATTATTATTATCATTCTGTTTGTGATTCCATGTTTGTAAATCCCATAGTCTCCGCCCCATAGAGTATCACCGGTTTTATTACTGTTATAATGTCTAATTTTGGATTTTCTGGTAAAATTCTTTTTATTATATAAACTGCTGAAAAAAATTTTCTCTGAAAGTATGTCCGCAACGCTTTGTTTAGGAGATATTCATAGCTAAATATTTTCACACGTTATATGAAATAAATATAACCTATTTATGTGTTGTAACTACTTTATTACTTAATGGTAAACATTATGTTCTACGCATTATGGAATAGGTTCACAATAATGGGTAAATATTAATTACCCCAATCAATGGACTGGCCGTGCAGGACCAGTGGCTTGGCCTGCACACTCTCCGGACCAGACACCACTTAATTTTTTTGTTTAGGGTGACATTAAACAAAAAGTCTATGAAAGTCCGGTCAATGACCTTAATCCCTCACGAAGAAGAATTATTGAATCTTGTGAAACAATAATACATATCCAGTGCCGTTCAGTGCCGCCACAGCTGCTGTTGAAGAAAGATGTCAAGTGGTCTGTATTAATGCTCAAGGAAATCACTTTGAAGAACATTTAATATGAATGTTAATGTTTACCTTTAATTAACAAAGTAGTTAGAACAAATAAATATGTTTTATTTATTTAATATAACGTAAATAATTCATAATAACGAAAATCTTGATGTGTGAATATCTCCTAAACAAAGTGTTTGCGGGCATACATTCAGAGGAAATTCTTTTCTTTTTTTGAGGTTAATAATTCATATTTTCAGTTTGGCCAATTATATCTGAAACATCCTGTATATATAAAATGTTGTCTCTGTATAGGGCCAAAAATAAAAATATTTGATACATGATGGATACAACCCTGATTGCTAATATCGATGTGACATAAAAATATAAACAATTTTTAAAATTTAATTAAATAAATTAATCGGGTAGGAAAGATCAATATTATATCCGGAAACATATTATTACGTTATATAATATATATATTATAGTTCCACGTGAGTATCAATATATTTTATCGTAGGCACCATGTTTAAGTAACGAATGTGAATCTGTCTATTGTAAACTTTCGATTATGATTAATCGTTACTACGTTCTATTAAATGGAATTTTATTCAAATTTCGTTACTTTGCTTTACATAGAGCCGACGATATGCAGAACAATTCGAATGAGTGACAGTAATAAAATTCTCTTATTTTTGCTGGTTTTTCCTGTCTCTTGAAAGCCTAAAAATTTTTACGGATAGCTGAGTTTTGTGAGGGAGGGGTGGCTGACATTCTATATGTTATTTCTAAAATTTGTTTTTTTGTCGGTACGCCATAACTTCGTCAATTCTTCATCAAATCCAATGATTGACCATTCATTTTGAAGATATTCTCCTCCAAATGCGAAAAACAGTCATATCCCCCGAAATTTCTGGAAAAAAAGTTAAGGAGGAAAAGAAACTCATAAAGTATGCAATTTTTTATTGATTGTACCCATGATAATTAGAAAGATTACTAAATTTCCTACAAAACGAAAATAATCGAACAATCATTAACAAAGACACAGTCCATTAGTTTTGGTATACTTAATAA